GCACAATGGGTTGGTGAGAACATTATCAGATATGCGACATGTATCAGATCTGAAGATGAATCTTATTTCAATAAGTGTGCTAGACTCCAAAGGTAACAAAGTTGTAACAGTGAGTGGAGCAACGATGGTCCTGATGGATTCTTTTATGGTGCTATAGGGCACCAAGGTGAAAATTTTGTATCTTCTCCAAGGGAATACAATAACAGGTGGAGCTACTACAAGATCTTCTACAGTTCACAGAAATCTGCATTTAGGTCTTGGCAAAGGAAGAGTTAAAAAGCGGAACGACGATCCTAGTGCTCAAAAGGGTTGTAAAGGGATTACACAACAGAATGGGAGAATGAAATCTGTTTTCAGATGGCAACCGAAATTACAGTAGTCATTACAAGGAGGCAGACCCATGAGGACAGGTATGATATTAACTTGCAATAATCTTGGTGGCAATGAGATAATCCATTCGAGTGTCATTAAGATGCGTAACAGGCAAGTAGTTGGTCATAATAGTGATATGAAGAAAAGTCAAGGACGTCATGTTCTCCACAACAGTGAGAAGATGACTTTTCATTACCAACCGGTGGTTTGTAGGCGTTTGGAGAAGGTTGTTGAAGGAGATGTCAAACTTATAGTTTCTGATGGTGTTTTTGGTAAGCGCTTAGAGTTTGACAGAAATACTGGAAGTATCTTTGTTGCTGCCCAATACATGCATGGGTTGAAGAATAAGTGCCAGAGGGTTAAATTTAAGGATAACTCAAACTTAACTAAAATTCTTAATTAATTTGTTTTGTGGAAAAGACAGTTTGTTTGACAAAGATACAGTGGCTTACTCAGAATTTTTTCGCCATGTTGGTGATTTGTTAGAATATTATGGCTAAAAAATATGTTGCCAACTTGCACCGACTCAGTCATTCGTGGAGCAAAAATCATGGTATTCCATATTAAATTTTTCTAACCCACTATGGAATTTGTGCCAGCCTTGATTGGTTTAAGCTACTATATATATATATATAATATATATGCTGATTTGTTGGTTATCAATAGCCTCCTTAATTTTACGGCTCATATAGCTTTATAATATAGCTGTGTCATTGTAAGGAAACAAATTTGATTCATTTGAGTGATTAATTGACTCTCTTCATTATACTTGGGCACCAAGTATCTGTTTGGCTATAAATAGCCGAGAATATCTCAAGCCTCAGTCATCCAAAATCATCAATTGAGTTTGTAATATCAGTTAGAGAGTAAAAGCTTGTGGGTGTAAATTGGGTTTAGGGTGAGAGCCACTTTGTTTTGTATCTCTTTATTTTCATAGTAAAATATTGTTCTATATTCTCCCCATGGACATAGGGATAGCCTTATCATGTAAATCCTTGTCTCGTTTATGTGTGTGCCTATTTATTTTCTTGTCATTACTTTTTCTCTTTATTCTCATAAAATCCTATTCGATCCTTATTTCGTAACAAACAAGATAGTTTAATTTAGGAAAAAAAATCATCTCCAGTTACTCTCTCACTGGATTGGTCCAGTGAAGGGTACAAAAGCTGACTTAGCGGTTGAGAGTTGAGTTAAATTTATATTTACCAAAATTTAAATATATACATATAACTTCCATATGCAACTTATCTATTATTTAATGAATTAATTTTCACTTCATGGGTCCCAATTGGTTGAAATTTGAACATCCAAAAAAATAAAACCCTAAAAAAGAATAAGAACCCAAGAAAATAACCCAGAACAGAAGAAGAACTACAGGAAATGATGTAGTTATTTATAGCAAAATATATATATGTGCTAATTTTGTTTGCCTTGATTTCTTTGGCACATATTTTGTGTATATATAAGGAAAGATGTGGAAAAATAATAATAATAATAAAAATAAATAAATAAAAAGGGAATAAAAAAATTGAAGAACGCGGAATCGTAATAACCAGATTTTGTCCAATCCTTCTCTTTTAGAATTTAAGCTTAGGGGGTAAGATTTAGTTTGTGATGCAAGAATTAAATTTGTTCAATTCGACTGAATCCTATGCAACTGTGATTCGAAATTTTCGGTTTGGAGAAAATTTGAGAATCGAGTGATTTGAATCTATTTTTAAGATAAGGTACGTATATTAACCCTAATAACCCGTAATTATATGATTTGTTGTTCTTTGTAATTTTGTTTAAGTAGCATGTTATGTGTGAGATATATTTTTGTAAATTGGCATATTTTGGTAACAAAACAAGTCCTAGTCAAGTTATAATTTCTGTCATCATATCCGACTTGACATCGACTGCGGAATTGAAAGTTTGTTCAAAAGAGGAAAGTACTGTTGATCATCAAAAGGAAAGAACAACGATTAGGACATCGTTTCCCACTGAGGACACACTGATATACATGGTATATATTTCAGAGTTCCAAAAATACAGAATTTCCAAGTTCATATTGGATTATGTCAAGTGGGAACCAGTACCAAGATTTGGGAACCAGTTCAGAAGTTATATTCGAGAACAACTCTCTATCCTTTGGGAACCGGTACCAAGATTAGGAACCGATTCCACAAGTCCTGATTGTAAAAGGTTTCCAGTTTCCTTGTTATGTTTAATACCTTTTCGATCCAACTTTCCTTCCAAGTTCTATGCACAAATTTTCCTTTATTTTCTGAAGGAATAGGACTTTGCAAACCTTTATATAAACCATGTCATATACATTGATTTATTCACAGCTTTTGTTATACAAAGTCATTATTTTTAACAGCCTTAGGAAGATTATTTTTATAGAAAATCAGAGTTGATTTTTCTGTCATCTCTCTAGAACACATACACATAAACACATAGTGAGTTTAGAGTTGTGAAGTTCAAATCCTGATCGTGATCATACGGTTGCATCTACAAAAATCTGACAAAAGCAGATCTTCTTCTACATCATTCAGACGATTGAAGAACAGAAGTAAAAACAATCACACCTTGAAAGGGTTGGATCATTCGAAGAGTGTTGTCTAATCTACCTGCTATTCTTCTACAAATATCAAGCATAAGCTTGAGGTCAAGTAGCTGTTGGACGGGGAGTCGCAAAGTCAGAGGATTGTCAGCAGTTGGTGTTTGGTAGAACAATAAGGTGTGAGCCAGAGTCAAAGTTCGGTATGCTTTGTTTCAAGCATAATGGATTGGTTTACTTTAGACTACACAATTCACAAGGTTTTCCCATAAAAGTTGACGTATTTTATCAATTGGGGCTTCCTCACTAAAATCCTGGTGTCATCTCTAACTTATATTTTGCTTTATTTTATATGCATGTGATTAATTGTTTAATTACTAAAACAAGTAAGTTGGTAACGACACAGATCTGTTTTAAAACAAACAAAACTTTCTAAGTATTTTCTTCTGCGTACGACTCACATTATGTATACATATTTTAATTTTTGTTAAATTGTTTTAAAGTTAGATTATTTTGCGATTTGATTTTATTTTAATTTTATACGATTTATAATATATTGTATAAAGTATAATGTATAGAGTGGTATTCGTACATATGGTAAAACAAAAGTAAATTTTTTTTAACTTGCTGACTTGGCGCTGACTTGGTGATAACAAGATTATGATTAGGAAGTGGCGTTAATCATCACTATTAGATACTCACTTGATCTCTAGAAAATAACTAGAGAGGATTTTTTTCCTTAATTTAGGTAAATTTAGTCAAATTAAAGAAATATAATGTAAAATTTTGGTCGATCCATGATATCTACTTCAAGTGAGCTTTTGTACAAACTTCAGACTCTATGCGTTTGGTTAATGCTAACACTTTTGAAAACACAGTTTAATAGAATATTATTTATTTTCAAAAATTGAACAAATAATACATATATTCATCCTGATATTTTTGTATAATTAAAATAAAAATAGCAGAGCCCCAGCAAATATGACCATCCTAACTTTTTTTACTTAAGATGACAGAGACAATTTTAGGCTGGCATAAACTCATATAAGATAACCAAAAAAATTGGCATATAATAAAAGAAAATTTGGAAGAATATCATTTAAATGATTAATTCCATTCAAAAAAAAAAAAAAGTGGTAAGTGGTGAGCCAAAGATGATCCTAGTACACACGTGTTGCACTCCTTTTGACGGTCCACACCGTGAATGATGTCTGATTTTGTACATTATCATCTCTCCTCATTGGACTTTCGAAACCCTATATTATCTTCTTTCTCGTGGCCACAACTAAGAGCATTCGGTGTGGGCAATACAAGTTATCTATCTACTTTTTAAAAAGTAGAGTGTCACGTAAATTAAAAAGTGATGATGTAATATTCTATTTTTCTTAATTCATATGTGCCATGGTGTGAAACCCAATTATCTCATTCTCTATTTATTATTATTTTATTATTTTATTAATTTATCTCATCCATATCTGCCTTTTGCTTTTTTCCCTTCAGTCAGACTGATTAAACAAAGGAAACAAAAAATAGAGTGTCCTTCAAAGACTTCTCTATATGTGGGCAAAGGCTTAAACAACGATTGTAAGTCCCACAAGACAGATACTCCACTTCTCTCACCATACCATTTTTCCTGACACAAATATACTCTAACGAGTGTGGCCGGATGCTCTAATAATCTAGCAAACTGGTTAGGTCAATTCATCATAGTGGACCACCTCTGAACAAAAATTTGGCATGGGACCGCGTAATTAATTATTGTTATTTTTTTTATTTTTTTCTTTTTACAGAATTAATCATTGTACAAGCACATATTCATCTTTCAAAAGGGAATAATCCAATAGGTATAATGTCTAACTCTCTAGGATGTGTCGTGTTCGAGTCTCTTATTCCTCCTTATTTGTCAGGATATATCTTTTAGTTTTTAAACAGAGTATTTTCGCTTGTATACTAGGGACACTAATTATATTTTCATAAGCCTACTGGCTAACTTATCTGAGTAAGTCTAATTTCAAACTACAATATTATTCAAAACTAATAGTCAACGCAGTATCGCAAATGTAGCTGAAAATATGACAGGGTTCACCTTATTGGAGAAGAAGATCCTTTTCTCAGAGGTATCGGCCATGGGTTGAACATACGAGTTGCAGGTGATGTGAACAGGGCCATTAGGGAAACCAACAAGCTCTATGTTCTTGAGATACACCTCATTGTTGTGTTCATTTCTTACCAAGACTGCACCAACTTCTCCAAAGTCTTCTTCAACTGAAAATTCAGTCTCATACTTCACTTCATGTTCATCTGCACTGCTCCGACTAACATTCACCTTGATTGGTTTCTTCTCTAGTCCCGTTCCTTCAAAATAATAAATAATCCTAACCAAAAATTAGTTTTATATGAAGTAAGTTTTTAGGGTCTATTTGACTTTGTTTTCTGAAAACTATTTTTGATTTCATAATAATTTTTTATACAATTTTTGTTTTTTGAGTTGCTGAGAAATGTTTCTTAGAAAACAGAATTAATGAACTAGATACTATTATTTAATTTCAATTGAAATTTTTAAAAATAAGAGATATAAAAGATTGATTAGCTAGATAGAGGGAAAGGAAGAAGAAATTAACAAAAGGGCAGAGTGAGAAAAATACCTCCAATGTTTAAATTTTGGCCAAATATCACCTCTAATGCTTTTTTAGTGTGTATAAGTGCATTACGTTTGAAAATTTTATCAAAAATGATTTGAATTCACTGTTTTGCTACAAATTTATTCATGTGCATTGCACATGACATTTTTAAGATATAAAATTCTAAAAATACATTTTTATCTTTTAATAATGTACTTATATATAAGAAGAAGAAGAAAAAAAATGAGAAAATCTTTAGTCATTTCACATTTAATTATTTTTTTATTTAGTTATAGAGAAACATTTTAATTTTTTCAATATTTAAGTCTTTATTTATTCAAAATTTAAATATTAAAATTTTTTCAAAACGTTTAAAATGTTATATACGTTTAAAATTTTGGGCCGGTAACCCTAACAAAATGTAGGCCCCATCAATTTAGTCATCGCCAGCTTTCATTTTCGTCAATTTGGTTAGTGCCTAGTGGTGCAACTCTAGATGGTCGCTAATAGAGATAAGTCAACGTCAGTCCACTTGTCTACTTTGCCTTCACTTTGACAAGTATGAGCATGTGCGTAGAATAATATTGAAAATTGGTGAAAATTATTCAAAACAGTGACCATCAGATAATTTTTTTCTTTTTTATTCCGTTTGGACGTTTATGGCTTTGGCACTTTTAATCCAATTTATCAAATGAAAATTTGACTTCTCATAAACCAGACGAAAATCAGAAACGGTAGTGACATTTCATGGTAGTGCCACTTAGGGGACTGTCTGATCCAAAACCTTAGGATGAAATATGAATGGTCTCCATCTCACCTAAAAGCTAAAACACGTGACACTAAAATATCTTTCCCAGTTGGAATGACAGATGGAATCTCATAAATCTCGCCTAATGGAAAACCATCATTTGGACTTGAAATTCGAAAAAAGTTATTATATGATTATAAATTATTAAAATATATTTTATTTTTATATTTTTTCTAAATTTTACACTAGTGAAATATTTTTTAAAGTAATCAAAATTAATTCCAAATATAACCACAGCTGATCAAATAATTGAAAATTATTTTCTTGATTTTTAGTAACACATGCAAATGGTAGCAAAGCTAGAGGATTGATTTTGAGAAACCCTACAATCCATACAAATGCTTCATGCTAAGTGGGACTAATCAAAATTGGAAAAATTGTTATATGGTCTCGGAATTATTGAAATAAATTTTTTTTTTTTTTGTATATTTTTTTAAATTTTACACTGGTGAAATTTTTTTTTAAATAATCAAAATTAATTCACAAATATAATCACAGCTGATCAAATAATTGAAAAATATTTTCTTGATTTGTAGCAACACATGCAAATGTGTGGCAAAGCTAGAGGGTTGATTTTGAGAAACCCTACAATCCATACAAATGCTTCATGCTAAGCGGGACTAATCAAAATCGGAAAAATTGTTATATGGTCTCGGAATTAGTGAAATAATTTTTTTTCTGCATATTTTCTAAATTTTACATTGGTGAAACATTTTTTTAAAATAATCAAAATTAATTTACAAATATAACTACAGCTGATCAAAGAATTGGAAAATATTTTCTTGATTTTTGGCAACACATGCAAATGCATAGCAAATCTAGAGGATCGATTTTGAAAAACCCTGCAATCCATACAATGCTTCATGTTAAGCGGGACTAATTAAAATTGGAAAAATTATTATATGGCGTCGGAATTATTGAAATACTTTTTTTCTGCATATTTTCTAGATTTTACACTGGTGAAACATTTTTTAAAAAAAATAATCAAAATTAATTCACAAATATAACCACAGCTGATCAAATTATTGGAAAATATTTTCTTGATTTTTAGCAACACATGCAAATGCGTAGAAAAGCTAGAAGATTGATTTTGAGAAACACTACAATCCATACAAATATTATCCAGGGGCGGAGCATTTGTTAAGGCCACAAAGGTAGCTGTCTCCCCTGATTCTTTGTCTTTTATTTTCCTAAAACTGTTGGATTTGTGACAAATATTATATATATATATATATATATATATATATATATATTGAATTTGTGAGATTTAATCTTTAAATTTTATTTGTCTTCCTTATACAATGGTTTTTCATTACCCCTCTCTATTATTTTGATAATAATATATTGTATTGTGTGCTAGTTATTAAGATGTGATTCTATAAGTTTATGACTTTCTTGTTTATGTTTTAAAATGAAATATTTTAAGACTTTGAAAAAAATGCGGCCACAAAAGAACTTCTGGGGATTTTTGTTTTGAATTTTCATTTCTGAGAACAAAAAAAGTAAATTTGAAAATTATGTAAAAGTTGTTCTAAAAGACCCTATTTTAGAGAATAGTTATATATTTTTTGTTTTTCAAACAAAGAGTAATTTGAAGAGCTTTAGTGAAAACAAAACAAAAACCAAAAAAAAAATTAATAATAAAAATGGTAATATACCCTGTTCAGTTCTTCACTGCAATAGCAAAAGAAACAAATTCTCTCTTCTTTTTTCTTCTACCTTGGAAACCAAAACATAACGAAATCATATTAAAGAAAAATAGAACAATTGATAATGATGATGAGATTATAGCATTTAATAATATTTATTTGAATAGCATTACTCTAATAAAAGAATACAATTAAAAATGCTTACTAGGATCGAGCACTGAGCTAACAAGCTCCAAACTGAGCGTGTGACCGATGAGATCAGCCAATAACCCCCCACTAGGTTTGGTGGTAACAACAGCTTTAATCCCAATGGGCTTCTCATTATCACTTGTTGCTATCGCCTTAATGTTGCCCGGAACAAAGCTGACACGAAAGCTTTTCTGGGATCTCCGGCAATCCGGCTTTGGCCGGTGGGAAAAAGAAGTGGTTCTGTTGCCGGAGAGGAAGGGTTTGTGCCATAGAAATAATGTTTTAGCAGACTGGGTTGACTGGTGAACTACTGGTGTTTTCAACATGTGAGTTTTTGGGACAATTAGACTAGTGGTTGCTAATTGCTAGAGAAGGGTGTGTTAGCTAGATTTCTTAGAACTGGAATGGCCTAGGATATGTCCTTAGTAGACGCCAAACTTTCTTTTAAATAGATGAGATAGAGGCGGCCAATAATATTCTCGTATGCACTATAAGTTGCACGTGCAAAATACATTAAAAGTATAATACGGTGTAAACATGACTTGTCGTATCGGTCGATACGCGACCTATTTCGTTACATACCTCTATAAGGCCGATTTACACTAACATTCGTCCGAGTTCGTTACACTGCGACCGCGACATATCGCGACTACGAATAATGGTTGGAAGGCGTCCTGAGTTCTAAGAATTAGTTGGGGCAAAGCTCCCAATACTTCCCGTTATTGTGTATATAGTACTTTTTTATCTTATATTGAAATTTTGAAATTACAATATGCCCCTTTTATTTTTGTGAATATTAGGTTGATTTCTTTCGTTTGAAATTTTTGTTAAAATGTAGCATTAACGGGATTTGTTGTTAATTTTACTATCATGGTCGTAATTTATTAAAGGGATTTGGTAGATTAGAAAGGAGGGTCTTTCATTGGACATGATAGCAAAACTAACATGATAGATGATCCAATGACTAGGAGATTTGAAACAGGGCCGAAGGCTGCCTAAGGTCCCAAAAATTTGCTTTTCTTTATATATTATAATTTTAAAAAATATATATATATATTTTATTCAAGTATTAAACGTGTACTAATAAAAAGATTTGATAGTGAGCCCTAAAAAATTTACATCCTTTAATTCTCACCTTCTTTATTTTGGAAGCCCCAATATTTTTTTTCTTTATATATTATAACTTACCTAAAAAAAATTATTTACTTCTATTATTAAAACTAAATCAAGAGAGAAATTTAATAGTGGGCCAAAAATATTTCTATCATTCTATCAACTTTTTTTAGTACTCGTTACAATCTTTCGAAAGATTTTGAATATAATTTTAATTCTATAGAAGAATTTTCTGGAGCATTAGACTGAATTTTTCCCTATGATTTTATAACTTAATTATTTTTTTATTTTTTTATTTTTTTTTTCATAAATTATATATTTTGTTTGTGAGTTGCCATCATTTTTATTTATGTTGTTGAGTATGTCTAAAGAAAATATGAATCAGGTTTTGAAAAACTTAAAAGATGAGAAGAATCTTTTTTTTTTTCCTAGTTGAAACTCACACACATATGCTTCACTTAGGCTCGAACCCCTGATCTCTCTTCGAGAAGTAAGGGTTTGATACCGTTAAATCACTGGCCTGTTGGTAAAAAAAGATGAGAAGAATAGATAAGCTAATTCAATATAAAAAAATGAGCTACTCATTAATTTGTTACAACTAATAATTAAAACATAACAAACAAATTTAAGAGAAAATTCATTAAATGAATAATTAAGTCATCTATAGGAATTAAAAGATTATACAATAATGGGAAAAGGCCTAAAAAAATGGCACAAGCCAATTAACTAACCATGGAACAAGAGATTGAAGACATCTTAGTGCTAAGTTTAAAAATTGTAAAACAATTAATGAGTATAATATTAATATAAACACATGAGTAGATTCTATTAAAAAATCACTTTATTTTTTTTCGGACCGGAATACAATACCGGGTATTATAAACCTTACAGGTATTGTAAACCTTACTATTAGAAAAAATGAAAAGTACATACAAACAACAGCAAAGTTGAACAAACTTTAAACTATTATTTGGAGTCAACCCCATTAATTTGAAACTTTATTCTCATGTTATTCAAGAAGAAACAAGCCAGCAATACTTTATGTGAGCTACAAGTTTCACCTCTCTTCCTTTTATTTTCAAAACATAGTATCTCAACTCAGGTATGATACCATTCTATCATCAAATTGAGATGCTATTAGGAACTCCCTTCCCTGTCACTCCAGAGTCCGAAAATGGTTTCAGCAGCTCATATGGAACAACCCCAGCTCCACTTCTATTCCTCAAATTACTGTCAATGTTCCTAGAATCAATAATCCCTTCAAGTTTCTTCAACTGCCCATTAAACCTCTCGAAGGCGGCCTTTATAGCCGGTTCCTCAGTCCAGGCTGCCTCAGGCTCACCGCCAAGATACTCCTCGTCCGGAGAATGGTTGGACAACACATCCAAAATGGTCAGAACTGTTGAAGCTTGAACTTGGGAAGGGAACATCATCAACATAATAACCTCAGGCTTCTCCAAGAAAAACTTCCACATTTCTTCGGTTGGCTCTTCGGTAGGCATATTCTTCCTAGCAATGGTAGGCCTACTGGGGAAATAGCCAGCATAGTCATACTGACCAAAGTTCACAGCTGCATGGTGACCCGACGGTACCCATATCATAGTGGTGAGAATTCCGATCAGATCTTGAGGGGTTTTGAGCTCCGGCCACCCGTCCTTTATGTCGCCATGGCCTACTGTTTTTATTTCATTCCACCATGCTTGGAGCTCTTCGTCAGACTCTACTACACTTGCATTTGGGTAGTAGTAGTTGACATATTCAGTAACCCAACCTTTAATGGCATCCCAAAGGAGGAGACCGTCGTTGGCAAAAGGGTAATCTTCAATTGCCAACTTCAGGCCATGCGGCGCGCTTGGATCCTCCACAGCCAATCCCCTAATTAACACCAGAGTAACAAGGCCATAGTAGATTAGTATATTGGTACTTGTATCTATTAACCACCATTTACTCTTATAGTTTAAGCTGTCAGAGACACTTGTTTTGAGACGGATGGAATATTTAAATTCAGGATTCAGGATGTTGTCGATTCTGATACAAGATTTATCACCATCTACTTTAAAAGGTCAAGTTATTAGAAATGGTGTGACGTTTAGTAAATTTGTACTATGTTATGCCTGCAGATAAGGCATTTACCTGTTAATTAGGTCTGCTGGAAGTCCCTGCAAATCGAATCGCCATTGCGCCGCATAGGCAGCAGAGCAAAGTTCCATAGAATATTTGCCGGGTGAGAATGATGACTCGATAATCCCACCTGCATTAATGAGGAAGTTTCGTGCCAAAGCATTGATCTCCATTGTGTACCGAAAATGAGGGTGCAACAGTCTATAAACAGGGTGCATTGAGCTAAGTTGGCGATTAGTTGCAATTACATAAGGCTCCACACAACAGTGAGTTCTTAGCCTGCAAAAGTGCACCAAGAAAGTTTATTTACAATATCATATATATTAATCTAATTTGATTAAATTTAGTAACCAAGTGTTGTGTTGAACCATATAATAGTGCTTACCAGTGACTGACTAGCTGGTGAATACCAGAGTCATGAGCACAGACATGAGCCTTGGCTAGTCTCCAAAGCCAGGAGCCTGTGGCTGTCCAATCGGGCGTGAACACTTGCCTCCAATGAGGCTTGTCATCCGATGGTGGCCGAGTCAACTCAATGGCTAGCGGCCTCAACGTGCCGTCGGGGGTGAGGAAGAACAATGTCCTTGATCCATAGAGCGTTGTGATCATGTTGTCCAGCGCTCTAACTTTGTTCACATATGGTAACAGCAGATCATGGTAATCTAGCATGTACAGCCTCTTATTTTTCACAGCCTGCATGTAACCATCAATAGTATTTGACAACTTAGAAATTCAAGTGGTAACTGTGTTTGCATGTAACCAAAATCTTACTATTTTAAAATTTCATGATAATAATCCGATTTTGTTGCGTTTGACGTTTACTAATTTTATGTTTGTCAGTACCGAATTGGCATTTAGATTTGGAATTGCTACTGACAACTTTAAACTAAATTTTTTGAAATCCCAAACCTAAAAAACCAATTCGGTGTCTTCCAAATGTAAAATAAATTATAATTCACAATGCTTTATCAAGGACTATGGTTTAGTGGTACTTGCTCATACCTTCTAAATTAGAATGTGAAAGTTCAAGTTCGATAGAGTGAATATGAGTTTCAAAAATATATATGTATGTACAAGAGTAATGCTACCATGCTTGATTGGATTTTGCAATCTATATAAATTACCTCTTCAATGGTACAGAAGCCTCTGATCTCCCTCTCCACTATCTCTTTGGTGATTGCTGATTCATCTGGGCCGTAGACGTTGGGATCAAGTTTGCTCTTCAATGGCCATTCCTGCACAATATTGACATAAAAGCCCATTAAATAGGTACGTAGACTCTACAAATCCACTCAAACACAATAATTGTAGACATTCATGTGGGTGTCAAATGATTTCATATCTTCCTTCTTCTGTTTTTTTTCCTCTCACCCCTATTAAGGGTTTCAGCCTTTATAGTCATTTTAAAATGTCATTAATTTTGGTTTAGTTTCACATGAATTTGCCTATGAACAATATTATAATTTTTTTATTATTTTTTTAAGTTCATTAATCAGCTATTTTTTTATTTTTTTTTTCATTTTGAAAAGTATGAGCCTAGTTGGTTCAATTTACTAAAATCAGTTCAAAAAATAGACAATTATAAACACCAATTCTCTTAAAATAATTTTTTTAAATGAATTTTCAGAAAATAGTTTCTGAAACTTTTAATACATATTTTAAATAAATAATTAATTAATTATTTCACTTTTTCAAAAAATAGAAATTATTCTCCGAAATAGAACCAAAAATACAGGTATTTTCTTACTTATATATTTCTAGGAAGTTGTGTTTCATACCGTGACCAACTCTATAGTATATGGGTTGATACCAGCAAGAGTCTGTCGAGAAAACTCCTCATCTCTAAACCAAGAAAATTTGTCTCCTGCAATCCCAAAAAAATTAATTATATATAAATAATAAGAAAGATGATTGGCTCTTCCAATACTCCAGTATCGCTGAATGCTTTTATCTGAAATTCACACGAGTCTCACCAGAAAGACTTGTGTTCCTATCATAACTCATATGATAACTTAAATATTGTGCTTACTCTCAATCATTTCTGGGGTCTCAAAGCGCAAGACACTTTGTCCGCTGTCACTAATAAACTTGGCAATCCTGGGTATGATATCGAGGATCCCATTTTTACTAAGCGCAGGTAGGTTAATCCCTTCATTGTACAATGAATCTATTGCTGTGAAGTATGGAAATCCAAGGTCTTTATCCACAATTGCTGTCTGCAGGGCCGGCACAACTGCATGAAACGCCGAGTATACGGTCTTCGCTGAGAATGTTGCACTCTTCACGGCTGAAAATGCTTCATCCCTTGGCACATAAACGGTGGCGCTTTTTGACTCGGATAATTTATCTGCATCCAATATTCACATAAATCAATTCATACATATAGGGCCTGGTACAAGTTTTGTTTTTGGCATTTTGTTATTGTAAGCAAAACAAAACGTCCATTTGTTGCAATATTTTTGTAAGCAAAAAACATAAAAACGTGTTTGATAAAAAATTATTGCAAGTTTGAAAATTATTATAGTTAGTTTTAAAATGTCATTTATGAGTTTTTCAAAAAAAAAAAAAAATATTGTTCATCTGAAATGAACTAAACATTAATGTGCAAAAACTAGGGCTGATCACAGATCGGATCAGTTCGGTTTTGGGTAAAATTCAAACCAATCCGGTCCTCACTGATTGACTAAATCTGAAACCGAACCGATCCGTAAAGACTTTCAATCCAAACCAAACCGAACCATGAAATAACGGATTGGTTTGGTTCGGTTCCCACGGATTGAGCTTTTTCAAATAACTCAATATAATTATATTGTAGTTATGCCCAGCCCAATATATAATTATATTTTACTATTTTAATTATGACTCAGTCAAACAATAAATCTATCAAAACACTCTGTTGTAACACATGTAATCTAAAAAAAATAATAAGAAAATGAGTGATGGATATTTACAAGAATGGGTTTAACGGACTAGCGAATTATTTGAACACCCTTAACAATAACATATAAAAATACCAAATTGGTATTTCTATTTTTGGTGACTATTCACTAAATGTTTGGGCACTGTCAAAAATAAAATGATTTTTATGAAACAAATTTTTTTTCACCATTCATTGCTAAACAGTACCAAACTAATCCATAATAACTGATAAACTTGGAAATAATTATATTGTATCAGTCATAGCATGTAAAACAATAAAGTACCCAATCCTAGAATCAGGACACATTCAACTATAGTTACTGTAGTAGTGATAAAGCATCCAAGATCCAACCTTTTTTTTTATTTTTTGTTTTACTTAAATTTGAAGTCATTTCACCAATCACATAAATATAATAGAATGTATTTGATTTTTTTTTGTCTCGTGTTATATTTAGATGGGAATCAAGGGTTTAAAGGAGCAGTTACATAATACCATTAAATAATTTAAATTTTTACGTAAAATTATAGAAATTCGAGTAAACTTAAAGCATCTATCATCGATGAAGAGAAATTTGAATTTACCCTACCACGTTCTGTACTGGACACCTTAACCACCACGTGTCGTGTCCGAAAGTTAAAACATGAAGTAAACACGTGTCCGAAAGTAAAACATGAAATAAACATGTGTCCGAAAGTTAAAACATGAAATAAATTCGTATCTCACCATCTCAGCAAGCTGTCACAATTCTATTGAATAGCTACATCAAGATCCATTATTGTTTTTAATTAATTGCTTTTGGACCCGCAAAGAAAATGCATTATAAATATGAAATCAAATCATTTTTTAAGAATGATTAATTGACACCTTAACCACCCACCATGTGTCCGAAAGTTAAAATATGAAATAAATTCGTATCTCATCATCTCAGCAAGCTGTCACAATCCTATTGAATAGCTAAAATTCGCACAACATTTTCAAAACATAAGTAATTAATCGCTTTTGGACCCGCAAAGGAAATGCATTAAATCAAGTCAAATCATTTTTAAGAACGATTACTATTAGATCAAAAATCATCTATGTGGCAGATTAAAAGTTTGACTCCGAAAATTGTAACTCACAAGAGTTCTTAAAGTGATTTTGATTACTATAATTATTTGACAGGGAAGAGAGATGTTTTGTTAAATTTGAAACCTGTCTTGCAACGTTCGCGACCGGTTCTACAACGTCTTGGATATGGATGCTCTTTTCCACCGAGTACCGGCCGAGCCAAGTCATCACTGCTGTCAGGATTGCCGAGATCATTATAGACATCGTAATCGTAGATCCTGTCTTCGCTCTGGCGCTCCCCTTGGCCATTACCACGGAGGTTTTCAAGCTCTTCCTGTCTTAGCCTCTTCAACCCATCTGGTGTTTGGGATGGCAAGTATGACTGCAATTATATAAATATATTCATGGAAACAACAAAAAGAAGTGAGACACAACTTTGTCACAACTGCCACCATTTTCTCATCATCATTTTGTCTAACTAAACATTCTCTTATTTTCTTATATAATCACACGAGTATATGTATTAACTCAAAATACAAAGAAAGAGAGACAAGAAAGAGTAAATTAATTATTTGTATTTTTACCATTCAAAAACAAAAAAAAAAAAATTATTTGTATTTTTACTTTTCAATGACACGGACTTTTATGAAAATTATGAGCCCAATTTGGTTCAAAGAAGACAGTTTAATTTAATTAAATTAAGTCAAAAGAAATATAATGTAAAAATTTAGGCTTCAGGGATTTAAACTCATATAAGATGAAATAATTAAAAATATTTTTAAAACACTAAATATAACAAAATTTTGACTTATTAACAATAAATAATAAATAAAATAAGAAATTATGTAATAAATAGGGAAAATTACATATAAATGGAGTCAAAGTTCCATATTTACTTAGAGGCTGAGTCAAAGTTTCATATCTCTCTAAAATGGATTGCTGAGGTGGCACATGGTTTTTTACTGTTTAGAAATTGTAATGCCTAAAATACCCTTCCGCGAAGGTATTACTTTTTCTTCGAAGGTACTACTTTTTTGAACTGAAGGTACTACTTTTTGGTGTCCAGGTACCATGTTTTTTAAACACCCGCGAAGGTATTACTTTTTTGAACTGAAGGTACTACTTTTTTGAACTGAAGGTACTACTTTTTTGAACTGAAGGTACTACTTTTTTGTTAGGGAAGGGCATTTTAGGCACCACAATTTTCTAAACAGTAAAAAACCATGTGCCACCTCATCAATCCATTTTAGAGAAATATGAAACTTTGACTCAGTCTCTAAGTAAATATGAAACTTTAACTCCATTTATATGTAATTTTCCCTAATAAATATCATTAATCTAAAAAAACACAATGATGATGGTGGTTGTGAGAGATATGATCCTGAATACTCCATTAATAATATTTCCACCCTTGTATTTTCCTCGTGACCACAACCAAATGGTCCCATCAATCCATTGTTAGGGTTATTACAACAATATATGGACCACGGCTAAACAATACGTAATAGATACGTATATGGTATGTATTAGTGGACCCCATAAAGTAATAATTAATTGTATATAATAATTAATGGCTTGACTGACCTATCACATCTAAAAGCATAAGCTCTTTCTTTTCGTTTCAGTTCTTATGTAACCTCAGTCTGCCGTACTTTCATCATGATGGTGCTATACAGCCTAGTCGATTAAGGGACAAAATTTGTGGAACGCTTTACTATGTGACGATACATATTGATGTGGTTGATCATATTCTCTTCTTTACCCTATATATCTTCTTCCTCGTGACCACTACTTAGAATCTTGCAAAATGGTCCAATCAATCCATCGCTAGGACCACTTCTATACAAAAATATATATATAGACACTGTTTTTCAAGTTCTAGTAATAGTTGTAAGGAATAAGTAATTGCAAAATTCATAACCTGTACCTTGTCAGACCAACAAATATAGACTATTATTAACATATTATCATATGTTACACTAAGGAGCAAAGTTCAATACAATATATATATATATATATATGTATGTATGTATATACTAGCAGAAGATATTACTTTGTGTGTGTGTGGTTAGAAAATGGTCTCACCTTATTGGAGAAGAAGATCCTTTTATCGGAACTATCAGAATTTGGCTGAACGTAGGAATTGCATGTGACATGAACAGGGCCATTTGCGAAACCAGTTAGCTCTATGTTCTTGAGATACATCTCCTTGCTGTGTTCATTTTGTACAAACACTGCACCAATTTGTCCAAAGTCTCCTGGAACTGAGAACTCAGTCTCATACTTCACTTCATCTTCATCATCATCGCTGGCCCGTTTAACATGCACCTTGATCGGAGGCTTCTCCTGTCCCGTCTCTTCAAAACAATAAATGATCGGAAACAAATATTAGTTTCGTATGTAATTAAGGTCAGATTTGGTTTAGTTTTTGATAATAGTTTTGTTAGTATTTTTTTTTTTTTAATGAAAATGAAAAATCAGAAGAACGTAAAAGAAAATGATTGTTTTCATATAATTATTTTTTATATATCTCTGAAAATATTTTTATGTTTTTTCAATTATTAATATCTACTTTTAGAAAATTAAATCAAATAGATCCTTACTTTTGAGCTCGGTTTTGGAAAATCAAAGAAATAAAAAATCACTTAGCTAAATTGAAAGAAAGGGAAAAGGAACCAATAAGATGTACCCTCTTCTTTCTTTCTTTTTTTAATATATATATATATATATGATGTACTCTTCAATTTAGTCATTGTCAACTTTCATTTTCACCATCGTCAGTAGTTGGGTCCAGTCAGTGACTTTACTTTGACACGCATGATAAGCATGTGGATAGAAAAATGTGTAAATATATATATATATATTGAAAGTTGAGGGTGTAAATATTTTCAACACAATGACCTTTAGGTTTTTCTTTTCTCTGGATTGATTTAAAAGTTTAATAGAGATGGCTTAATTTGCCACTTTTTATATATTCAGTGCATCAATCAAATTTTGACTTGTAATGAAAAAAAACAAAAATCAGAAATGCTGGTGACATTTAATATGGACCACCCTCTCATTTGCAAGCTGAAAGGATGACACTAAGCGAAAAATGTCATGACCCAATTGGTAGATTGATGGATTCTCACTCCAATCAATGGAGAAGCTTCAAAATAAGCGCACTAATAAAAAACGAATTATTATTATGTTATGTTTTGGTGTACCGAATCATTGTTTTAAAATTGAGATTAAAATAAATTTAACTCAAAATTTTAACTAATATCTTCTAATTCTAAATTTATACCACGAATTTCGTACTCCCAAACGCATTCTCTTTTTTTGCATATTCCATGTGGGTTTTACACTACTAAAACATTTGTTAAATTTTGAAAAATTAATTCACTAAAATTACTACAGCTGATCAAATAATTTGAAATTAAATTTTTTTGATAACTATGAACCATACATGATATCTATATAGCACCCAATTAAGACTTTGGCAAGTCTTAGCTGAGTGTAATAATTGAGATCTGTAAAAAAAAAAAAAAAAAAAAAATTGTAGTTAGATATGTTGAAAAAACATACACACTTCGGGAAAAAATGTAGGAACGTAAGAACTTTATGGGGTTTTTGTTTGGAATTGTCATTATTGAGAACAAGAAAAGAAAAAAAGTTAGAAAAATATCTAAAAAAATGTTCTATAAACGACCCAATTTTAGAGAGTAAATTTAACTTTTTCTTTTTCAAACAAAGAATAATTTGAAGCGTTCAATCTTTAACGAGAAAACCAAAAATAAATACCAGTCCTTACAAGCCTGTTGCTGTTTGAATTTGAAGTCTATTTATACTTCAACCTTTTGAACACGGTTCGAAATCTAGAAAAGAATTTACTTGGTGTAGAAAACAAAAAACAAAGATTTTGTTTTTCTGATAATCAACGAACCTGTGCAAGATGCCCCTACCACGAATCGAATAAAACAAAGATAATAGTTGTGTTACTCTAATAAAAGAAAATAAAAATGCTTACTAGGATCGACCACAGAGCTAACAAGCTCCAAAGTGAAAGTGCGACCAATCAAATCAGCCAATATAGTTCCACTCCGTTTGGCGGTAACAGCAGCTTTAACGCGAACGGACTTCTCAGTAGCACTTGCTACGGCCTTAATGTTGCCGGGAACATAGCTGACACGAAAGTTCTTTTGGGTTCTACGGCAATCCGGCTTCGGCCGGAGGGAAGAAGAAGCGGTTTGGTTGCCGGAGAGGAAGGGTTTGTGCCATATTGGGAATAGGGTTTTAGCAGACTGGCTTGACTGGTGAACCACTGGTGCTTTCAACATCATTGTTTTGGTTGCCACTTGGTAGAGAAGGGTGTCTTGGCTAAGATATGTCACTTGTTGAGGCCAAGCTGTCCTTATATAGATGAGAGACGAGAGAGATGGGGGCCATGAATTTGGCCATGTTCTCCATTAGATAAATTCATTGCAGGCACGTGAAAATTACCTACAAATATATCACTGGGTCAATGATCAAATTATACCATGTCGTAATTTTTTTTTTAAAGTAGGTCAAAAATTCAAACATCATTGGATGTATGAACAAAATTTACACACACATGTAAATATACTAGTGACACATGTAAATATACTAGTGAATTGGTTAAACATGTTTATCTTCTTGAAGTTTATTGAAATTACAAAGATGCTTTTTTTTTGTTTTATTTTTATTTTTATATTTTTATTTATAGACTGATCTGTTTTGTCATAAATTTTTGTCGCATCATAGCATTATGGGACTTGTCGTTTTACTATCATGGTCCTAAGTTATAGCCATACTTTTGATAAAGTTTAAAATTAAAATTGGTTTTACAAGGATAAGGGCATAGTTGATATTATGAAATTTTAAATTGTGGACCTTTGCAAAAAAAAAAAAAAAATTCGTTGATGACCACTAATAGAGAGAAATCTGTTAGAAAACTTGCTGAAAAAAAAAAAACATGTATTGTAATTTTGTTATAATAAGAGGATAGGTTTGCGCAATTATAAAAAAATCTCAAGATATCCTCTTGATGCTATATAATATTAGACTCAACTTGTAAAATTCTTTCGGCCAATTACTGAATCAGTGAAAGACTTAAAGTTAATTCAATTTGACTTTTAACTCTGTGCTTTGTTGTTTCAGTCGTGTTGGAGTCAAAGTGAAGTGCAACAATTTCATGGTATTAAGTCAATTTTTACTCGCATAAAATTAATTAAAAAAATATATCTCCCAATGAACACTCTTCCCTACATGAGACCCAAATAACTTTATATATTTCATTTTATGACCAATATATAAAATGAAAAGAATGATATAGGTTTTGTTTTTTTCTTTCATATTCGTGATTGCAAGGAAGGCAAATTAATTACCACAAATGGGATAGTTCTTCTAGCTACCAATATACAAGAATTGAATAGTAAGCCTGAAATCCACAACAACTAGACGAAGAGTCGCAGGAATCAATCTAAATTATTCTACAACTAGTTCTTGACAATATCTTGTGGGTTTGAGACTGAGTTGGTGTAACTTTACTTAGTGAAAGTGGATTGTTTCATCCGAAAAGGCTAGGCTTCATGAATTTTTTCCTATGAGATTTTCACATTAAAAAAATCATGGTATCACCTTTCACTGTACTTTAATTTATTATCTTTTATTTAGTTTTAATTTTGTAAAATTAAAATAATTTAAAATTTAATCAAAAAAGCAAGCTAGACCTATTTACCCTAAGATCTTTCGTTTGAGATCAAACACTTCACACAACTTCTACTAACTCACAAAGTTCATTTTAATCATATTAGCGGTGGTTTTGGAAATGACAGTCAAAATATGTTTCGCCTCGACTTTCCAATTAGTTTTAAAAATATACATAAATCAATAATTTATTATTGAGCTTTTATTTCCATGATTATTCATATTTATAACTTGAGCACTAACAAAATTGATGACTGTAATTGTTAACTATTTCATTATATTTAACTGGAATTGTGTAGAATTGAATTTAATGTTCTAAAGTTTTGAAATATATATATATATATATATATATATATATATATATAATGTTCTAATTATGCTCGGCAGTACAACCTCAACCCATCACAGCTTTAGGGCAAAGTGAATCACGGTGGGTGTGAATAATTGAATTTTTTTATTTTTTGGGACATGTTTGGATTTGAGTGACTTGTCTATAATCTCTCCGTCCACATCTCCACCACATTTTATAGACATTTAAGTGAGCCACATGTTACATGTCTTTTAAGTTTCAAGCTCATTAATTGAATTCCAACAAAGTCCACAATACAAATAATCAAATATTTGTATCAAAATTATTGCCTCTACGATTCTTTTGACTCTACAAAATCCCCAACTTTGCTCCTATTCGTGCTAAACCTCTACAAAATCCCCAACTTTGTTACTATTCGTGCTAAACTTATACTCCTATCTTGTAATTCCAATTTCGGGACTCGTACCATGCATTTATCCCTAGGCACACACTTTAATTTTTTCAATTAAAACAATTTATCAATTATATAGCGAAGTAGATGTAACAAGAAATTGCTTGTTTTACATCGAATTCGAAAAAAAAAATGAATGGATATATATGGGTTGGGTGTTAGCCCCATATAATAGCTTAAACTTTTAAATCGGATCACGAAACACCCATTCGTTACAAATGATATCAGGCTAAACTCAGTCATTGATCCAATGTCACACTGTCACACCACCGCCAAGTTCGAAAGGCGACCAGGTCTACAACCTGAATAAACAAGGTGACCCGAACCACGAGTTCAGGTGGGGGTCTTTTTAGAGAAAGAGAGATGCATAGGATTTGGGGTTGAAATTTGTAATCTTCTATTTTTACTATAAGGCCCGTTTGGTTGGTAAAAAAAATTAAATTTCCATCATTCACTTGGTTAGGAGAAATGTTTTTAATGAAAGTGTGAGAAAATATTATTTTGTTAGTTTTTATAGTACGGAAAAGAAAAAAAAATGATTAATTTTACTTACCAAAATACTCTTACAATTTCAAATACTAAAAAAATAAATAAATTTGTGTTAAATGAATAATCTGTATATTCAATTTTTTATTTTAGCAAAGGGTTAGTAAGATATGGATTATTAATTTTTATTTTTTTTTATTGGCGATGATTATTAAAATAATAATATAATTATTTATATCTAAACTGGTTATATGTAGATCTATATCGAGTTTGCTAAAAGAAGTAGCCATGATGGAGAAATAGTCCTGGAACAGAATAGAAAAATGAAATATAAAACGACGGTTGTGGCCGGAAAAGTGAAAACTTTTCTATGTTTTATGTGAGAATTATTTTAGAGAAAAATCATCATATGCGAGAATTTTATTTTATTTAAAAAAAATTAATATCTTGCTAATTAAACTAAAAAAAAAAAAAAAATTTAATTCACGCTAACCAAACAAACTTGTAGTAAAATATTTTTGTCAAATTTTTATAAATTTAGACTTTATATCAAATCAAGTATATATTTATCGCTTGGTGCGTGTGTATGTAACAGTATATATATATATATATATTGGTCGGTGATTTAAAATTTGAAATCATTTGTGATGGTTGAGTGGGCAGAGATATAAATTTAGACTTTATATCAAATCAAGTATATCTTTATCTCTTGGTGAGTGTGTATGTAACAGTATATATATATCAATAAAAAGCAATTCTTGGATCTTGTCCTATCAAGACAAGATTTGTCCTCCAGCCTATGAAAACTTGACACCTGTCATACTGAATCAAATTGGGAGTAGAATCCATCAAACAAACCCATTTTCTCTGCTTCAGTTCTTCCTCTCTTCTTCTCTCCAAGCACCGCCGCAAGCCCACACCATCTTCGTCCTCACCGGTCTGCCATCGCCACCGCCACCGCCACCGCCAGTCAGATTATTCACGGCCGAGCTCTCCACATCCGAGTTGTCCTTAGCCGAGCCGTCCTCGCCACCGTCCAAAGTCAGCCCGTCACTGCCATTGTCAGTCAGCCGCGCCTATCATGGCCGCCATCATCCGAAGCCGAGCCCTCCACCGGCAAGCTCACCGCCGACCGGCTCCATCACGGCCGAGCCCTCGATCTCAAAACTCTCTGCCGGATCTCTCTCGTCTCCTCCTCGATTCGCCGCCGCAAACTCTCAGCTCCGAAGCCTTCGCTGCCGACTCATATATATCGGCCGCCGTTGAAGGAACCACCAGAAAACCCCATCGTCTCAGGGAGGACGATGACTGACACCAGAAACACCAGAAAACCCTGTTGTTGGAGGACGATAACTGACACCAAGCCGGCGTCGGGTGAGGTTCCGGCGAAGCTGCCGGCGAAGATGAGGAAGTCGGCAAGTCTAAAGTCGGCTGTTGGGTATTTTGAAGAATGGAGATGTGGCAAATTCCTATTCGGCCAAGTCAGCTTGGAGGACAAATCTTGTCCTGATAAGGCAGGACCCAAGCATTGCACATAAATATATATATATATATATATATATATATTTTGTTCAGTTATTTAAAATTTGAAATCATTTGTGATGGTTGAGTGGGTAGATATTTTTAACGAAGGCCTGAAATTATGACTGACGAGAGTACAAGAGTTGGCAACCAACCAAGATAATGTCAGACTATTATTGCTGGCGTTAATAGTACCAAGACATGGGAGGAAGAAAAAAAGAATAATAAAATTTTGAACTTTGTCTAACAATGTACAGAATTCCATTTAACGTAGCAGTAATCTTTGCAAAAGGAAATTTACACCTGTAAAAGCATCTCAGTCGTGCTCGTGTTGTCAATTTTTAGGGTTAATTTTACGTGCCAATTTTCACTTTTCTACCATCGAGATACATAAAAACAAAAAAACAACTAAGCATGCCATCACAAAGGGTTTTTTTGCATATTTGTATATAGGTTAATTTTAATGTTACTATCTCATATTTGATCAAATATTTTTTGAAATTAACTATAATTCATATTCTAATTTACTTTTATGTTATTTTTTCGATTAAAAAGGTACAAAATGACAAATTTATTCTTTTTTTTTTTTTTTTTAATCTAAAATATTAAAATCCTGAAATAACCAAATTACTCTCATTTTCTACTCTGTCACCCCAAAACTCTTCGTCTCGCTCTTTTCTCCATAAACATATATTTTTTTGTGTACATGGTGATATATATATATAGATATATAATATAAATTGGCTGGTTTATATATATTTATAAATTGGCTAGTTTTAAAAAATAATTATAAGTTTATAATTACAAATTTGGTTTTAAAAATAATTATAAATTTATAATTATAATTTGGTTGGTGTAAATAATGAGAAATATATATATATATATATATAGAATAATTTTAAAT